TGTGTATCTTTTCTTCTGAATGAAATTATTGAAACCACATTGTTTTATTTTAAGGTATAACATGGTTTGTTGTGGATTTTCTTTTAACAGTGAATATTGTACCATTGAATTGTAAAAGAAAAAATCATTCATGTTTATTAAGCCTTAAATCTTTTTGCAGAATGTTTTTTTTTTTTCACCTAAAGAAAAAAAAGGTATTTAGCTTTAGTGCAGATTCAAACTCCATGGGTTTTGTTGTCAATGGCTGGAACAGATCTTGGCAGTGTGTTAAACCAGAATTCATCTCAGTATGCCCGTGTGCAAAAATAAAACAGACTATTTAAATAGACTATTTAAGCCCCACACTCAGGGATGGTTTGGTCCTCCATGCTGCTCTTTTGGTTCATGGTTCAGTCAGGAGCATGGACCCATCGGGTATACCTGTACCTAGTGTATCATAAGTTCAAGTTCTTGTATTGAGCTATATGTACTGACTCGTATTGTGGTTTTCATCTAAGGATTCCATGTTCTTGTCCAACTTCATGAAGCATTTTCTTATTAAAGAGCCCTTGAAAGACCATTTTTATCACTGTGTTTATTGATACTCTCTATTGACTCCCTTTACTTATAATTTATTTCATATTTTGAGCCATAACTGTTAACGTTGTTGGTTATGAGTTCTTTTTAGATGTTAAGTTAAATTGTGTTTCAAGTGTGTGAAACACGTCATAAAAAAAAAAGCTTAAAGTCCCCCTGAGCAAGGTCACTTGTAAATTGTGCTGATCCTCTGTAATTTTCTCTCTGATGAGCATGCCCTCAGACGTCCCTACAGCATGCTGGTTATCAATAATGTATTCAAATACTAGAAAGTGAAGGTGCGGGAAGTGTGCCAGATGTGACTTTTATTTTGCTTGTGAATTTTTATCATGTAGGATGATCTAACAGCAAGCACTTTAATTAACCATCATGAAAACGTTACATGTATTTTATTATGGGAGCCATAGTGTAATGTAAATGTGGCAAGTTGTCCATCTAAAAGAAAACTGTATGAATTTACGTAAATCATAATCCCAGTGATTATTTAAATGTATTCTTAAGAAATCAAATGTCCTGTGTACCTTTGAGTTGGTGATGGTTTGTAACAGTATAACCATTATCAAAAATATACCTTATCTAAACAAAAGTATTGTACGTCATTTTCTGAAGTAATACGATTTCTTTTTCAAAAAATGTGTAGCAGATTTACTGTATAACACTGAAGTGTTGTAATTTTAACTTTTAACTTTTAACTTTTACGTCCTTCCATCACAAAATTTTTTAAAAAATCACTACACCATTGTAGAGTACACCGTTTCTGTAAGTCACACTTTAATTTTTAGATTATCTTGATAAATGTTTTGGGGCCTTAGAGCACAATAAGACCTGTTGTTTGCTTGTCTTCTTCAGCACATGAAAATATGTGAGTCTTAATGTTATTATCACAAATCAAAGAATACCTGCTGCATAGTCTCTTTGTACACTGAAGATCAGGGAAAAGGCTTTTTCTTCCAATACATCCTGCAACAACAAAACAGTGTTGGTTAGATCACACATTGGAAAACATAAAGACACCTTAACAAGTCCCAGTGAAGCGGAAGCGCAGTGGCAACCTCCTGTCAAGTTTCTGTTCAAATTATTAAATTAATTCTGCTGTTAGCTCTGTACATTGAAGTTAAACATCTCATTATCATGATCCCTCTAACTGTTGTTGTTAGTTAAAGCAAGACTGAAGAAGTCAATTTATTTGACATTCTTTCTGTCTTCATTGGTTTCTTTTATTTCTTTTATAAGTGATTTTGTCTAGAGTCAAGCACTTTGACATGCTTTGTTGCTGAAATGTGAAATATAAATAACCTACCTTGCCAGTGTTTTAGCTTCACCGGAGTGAAGCATCCTGGGAATATGCAGTATCACTTTGAACTACAATATCAGTCATCAGTTTTGTAGAATCACTTCTACTTAAAAAAAAAGTTTGAAACGTGTACTATTCACAATCATTATCTCTAAAAATTAAATTTAACACGGTTACATCATAACTATATAAAGTATGTTTTAGCTGTTCTAAGTAAACTGCAGGACATATTGAGCGAAAAATACATTGGAAAATGTTTTCATCAACTCTGCATTACAAAATATTAAATGTATTATATCGAAATGCTAAAAAAAATCATTGTAAATTATATTTTAAATTTCCAAAAAATCGAATCATATTATGTTTATAAAAATGTTAATGCATACAATCTAGGTTTTACCCATGCAGTTTGTACAATAATAATAATTGTATTATGTTATTGTAAAATCTAACTTTTTTTTCCTTGAAAAGTTGCATCATAAAAAAGCAACTTTTTAGACAAAAAGAGTTCTCCCTTGCCCCACAGGCAGACATTTAAGGGAAAGCAATAACACAAAAAAAACAAGCCAACCATAGACAGTATCGATCAGAAAATCAAGTAGCACGCCAGAAAAGAGAAGGCCCTACGATGAAAGAATGTCTTAGCAAGGGTCTATTGCCATCAGCATATAATGATAATGGGTTTTGTTACTATACAATATCTTACCCAGTGTGAACAAATAGGGGACCCAGAATCTAACCCTGTGGAACCCCACAGGCAAATGAATGCTTAAAAAAAGTGTATTGTAATAGAGAAAGATATTTGTGTAAGGTAAGAAATAAAGCAGTCCATTTCTACATTGCAGATTCCAACAAGTGATTTCAGGCAGTTGATTCAAATCCTGTGGTTGACTGTGTCAAAACCGAGCTAAGATCAAGAATGATTAAAACAGAGAAAAAAGCCTGTGTCTGCAGCAAGAAGCAGGTCATTAGAGACTGATATCAGATCAGTTCTGTAAAAATATATATAAGAGGCCAGTTGTGCAGAAACTATTTTCTCTGAAATTACTTATTTTTTGTAGTTTCAAACATTATATCTAAACTTCCTCTTTCAATGTGTTATGGTCAGTTAAGGTAGTTAAATGCTTTAACAGTAAATCAAGGGTCACAGCTCTCTGTCTGGCTTCTCACGTGCACTGCTTGTGTTTTTCTATTTCCTCACTTTTTGAAAGCTGCATTGCTCCCTTCTCAACACTTACACCGCATCAGTTCCTGCTATCTCTCTGTTGAAGGAAGAAGGTGGCGAGCAGGCTGAGTGGGGGCCAGTCTGCGCAGGGGCATTTGGGTGGGGGGAAGGGCATGTCTGCTGGCAGTGAGGGTGAGTAGATCAGTGCTGCTCAGTGTCTGTGAGGCGGTGATAAGATTCCAGGATTTTCCCAGTGTGACAGGCCTGCTCACCAGGCCGTACATCCCTCTGCAGTAAGACAACCACAACCATGCACCTGACCCCCCTCCTCCAACCTCCCTGGGCTGCTACACCTCAGCAGGCAGGAGCCCCAGACACCTGCAACCCCACCCCAAAAGAGACACCACAACCGCTTAAACTCTAAATCTTGATTTGACAATATTTTCTGTCTCAGGTGTAAATTTTAAATAAAACAGACATAGATGTAGGCATAGTTTTTCCACAACACAGCAGTCGTGCGCTCTCTCTCTTTCTTTATCTCCCCCTTTGCCTCCCCACTCCCCCTCCTCTCTCCCCCTCTCCCTTGGATGGCAGGTCAGGCAGTGAGCTGTGCGGGCTCAGAGGAGGTAAGGACGCCGCGGTGCACATTAATAATGAAAGGCCTCAGCCACCACCAGCCTCCCCCAGACACATACACACTCACAACTACCCCCCACCCCCCATCTCCATGGCAATGGCACAAGCCCAGCAGTGTCACCGGTGTGTGTGTGTGTGTGTGGGGGGGGGTTACAGCTACACTCTCCAAGCTGATCACGAGCTCGTACACAAGCCAACTATACTGGGCCTTCCTCTCGCTAATTAGAAACACTCAGCTCTACGGCCGCAGCAGAAATCAGCTTCTATGTCCCCACCTGGATATGAAAGAGTGACTGCGGAGCTGTGAAAAAAAACCCGCAGAGAATCATCACTTAGCAGGAAATGGAAATTCAGTCCAGTGTCACAGACCTGAGGCATTAGAATCAGTAATTACACCAAGACCCGTGTGAGATTGTCCACATTTTCCTTTTTTTTTTTTAAATTAGCACAGCGTTCACCGTATTCACATCTTTATCATAACTTTCCTTTTACTACATGGATGAAAAACACAGGATTCGAGGAGCTATTGTGATAGCTGGTGACACATTTGGGTGGATATTTACATTTGAAAAACATGTTTAATTCTATAAATCGTGCCTATCGAACAGCTGTTGATTACAAGCAGTTAGGAATAAATGTATGCAACCTACTGCTTTACTAACATACTGTATACTGTTGATTTCAAGAGGAATTTCGCAACTCAAAATTGTTGCATAGGATGTCTATCCATTTATTTATTGTTGTTTTATGTACTAAGATATCAATCAATAAATCACACCAAACCTAACGATATGTAGCTTTAGACAGACTCCTTCAGGATAAGTTCAACAGCTCTGTAGGACAGAGATGATTGAAATTATTTTATGCTCCCGTTTTTCTGACTGGAGTAGAGTGAATGACAAATATTTTAGAGAAGTGACAATCTTTGACAAGGAATGACATTTAAGTAGATTTTCAAGAGGTTTCATGCATTTTGAAACTCAATGCAACAGAAATAGATTATTCAAACAAGTTTGAATTTTTTTGGTTACACGTTAGCATAGTAAGGCTCCCTCAGTCACCCCCCTGTAGGGAAATATTAAATCAGTGAGAGAAATATCACAGTCAATCCAAGGACATTATGGAGATCCATACCACCATCTAATTCGCTTTTAATGACTTCTGCTCTAGTCCGAATCTTTTAAAGTTTCCCTACACCACCCAATTATGAAAGAAAAAGGAACATTTCTCAGTTGATGGAAATTTTATACTAAATGTTTTGCTTGTCAAACCAGCTGTTTTTACAAAAAAGAAACATGCAAATAGACGAGTAGACAAACATCAGAATTGTACATTTTGACACGAATACATGCAGTCCTTTTTATTCACAAAACCAGTCCAATTTCCTAAACAAATACAAAGATTGGTTATTTTTAAAAGCTGTAGCTACCCAGCAACATAACAAAAATCATGAAAATATGACAAACAAATAAAAAAAATGTAATCTTGTCTCAGTGCGTTCAGTAGGGTAGACTCAGAGCAAGTGCTGTCTCTGTTGTTGCCCTGAGCAGTATTGGCACATGCTCAGTAGGGCCACAGTAACATAAGGCTGCCAGCCTCACGAAAGGAAACATTTGGAAATGCAGAGGAGGGCTGATGGAGGAGATTACAGTAGTGACGGCTCTGGCATACTGTATCTTAAACCCAGACAGGCGTCTAGGGAAATTTGCCCAATTCACCATATTCACTCAACATCCATTTTCTCCTGACCCCACACTCAGACTGGGAAGAACAAATACTGGTGTAATGTTGTACTGCTGTTTTACTGGTTGTAAGTCTAGTAAATTCAAAGAGTCAGACTTTTTCATTTCACTGCTTCTCAATAAATGAGCAACTACACTCACAATTGATACTGAAACTCTGGAGGGAAAACCAGCCACATTTTAGAAAGAAAACAACAAATTTGACAACTCATTAGCTAGCTAGCTTAAATTTGATATCACTTCCTAGCTGCCATTGCTGAGAATTAAATTCCTTATATTATTTTGTAACCTAGAAATCGCATCAGGTAAGTTTTAGCCTTCACTGGCCAATGGTGAAAATAGTCTTTATTGTCTGACAGGTTTTCTTACGCATAGAAACGTTTTCTCTGGAAAATAATTGTTAATTGTTGTTAATTGTTTTAAGAAGGCTAACTCTACCAGCATTTATTTATTAACGATCATTCACTTCCTAGCTTACAGTAATGTTGGCTAAAAAGTGGCAAATTGCTAATGTTAGTGGTCGTATAACAGCTAATAGGTCTTCTCTGGTTGGAAAGCTCAAACGCTGGCCTAATGTTATACTATTGTGTAACGAGTTGATAGACTGAAACTGTTACAATTCATCGCTTCTCAAGAAATAAGCAACTCAAAAGGTGAATGATTCTGAAAGTCTGGAGAGGCAAATAGCCAAAGTTAGCCAAAGCCATAGAAAACGTCACGTTTGATGACAAGACAGCCACAGTTTACCAAAGCTGAATAAATTAGTTAATCTAAGAACTCAATTTGTAGCCTAGTCCTAGATAAGGAATGGACACTTTATGATGTGTAGAGCAACTCAACCAGTGATATTGGCCTTCAGGTACTTCCTAGCTAATTTTAGCAAGCATAGCTGAACGGTAACAGCAGCCTGTCAAATGGTAGCTAATGGATTATCAAAAATGTTGTTTAAACTCTTTTGACAGTTTTCACTTGGGGTTTTCACAATTTATTGCCGCCGTAGTTTCTGAAAAATGCAGAAGTAGTGAAATGATGATTTGTCATTGTCAGGCCTACATTTGTCGACTGACAGCCTGAAACACATCAATGTGATATAACAGCATTTTGTCTTCCCACTGGGAGAATGTATCAGAGAAAAATGGCCGCTGTGTGAATATGGTCAAGAACATTGCTCTTCCAGTTTTGTTTGAATCGGAAATCCACAGTGTCACAATTTGATCGCATTTTTTTTGTCTTTCAAAGACGACCACTGATCTGTCAGAAAACTTGAAATGAATCATAAAATAGACAAGGGTTTAGGTAACATAATGGTGAAAAATTACAATTATGTTTGCCATTAGCCACTAGTTTTGAAATATAGCTGTAAATTTACATTCTCTACACAAGTACTGTATCTTTCCACACATGAACAACATTAACACCAAACACAGAAATTAGTTGATTGTCCACACTCAGTCCGTCATTTCTGTTTCTGGCAATGAACAGTTCCATGTTGAAGCGACAGAAAAAAACCTGCTGGAAAAAGGACAAAAGGTACCAAAATGGAAACATAGAAAAGGGAATGAAAATTGCCATAGATGCTTTTCTTTGCGCTTCATTTTTGGTTCAAGGAATAAGTAGGTGCATCCATTACCCGATTGTTTTTTTGTTTTTTTTGTCATTGTTTTGTTTTGTTGATGTTGTTTTTTTTATTTTATTTTACTTGTTGCTTGTTTGTTTGTGTATAAGCCAGTTTCTTTTCCGGAGACAATCCAGGAGTTGGCATTGCACTTGATGGCAGAGCTTTGGGTAGGGAGTGGAGGAGGAGGAGTCCTACTGGAACCACCGAAACGCTGCTCCTGTAGGAAGCATCACCTTCTTGGAGAAACAGAGGACAAGAAAGGAGCAGACAAAAGGGGAGGGGGAACAGAAGAAGAGGTAGGTTTTTAATATAAGCAATACAGCACTTCAGAATCAGTGTTTGCAAATGTAAGACAGAAGTAATACCTTGTACTTTTTGCCTTATCATAAAGTTAACTTTTCTGTTGAACTTTCGAAACTTATAGTCATTGCTGTGACCTGTATAGATGTATGTATTGATGTTTTGTTACAGCTATACCTGCTTAATGTAAGGAATTGAAAAAACAGAATCTTGCACAAGATTATTCAAATAGGAGGACTTTGCCAATATTGTTTCTTTGAGATACTGCAGTTTTCTTAAACAAAAAGCAACATTCAAACATATGCTATGTGTTTCAAATAATCACTTCATTGGTTGATGTGCTTTTATGATAAATGACAATTTAAAAAAACTTGTTTTGTTGAGAAAAGGTATCTTATACTACAAACTTATGTTTCTGCATAAGGTGGTTTCTTTTGTTCAAAATATTTTTATTCGATTGCTGATGATACATCTGAATGTTTTTATGATGTTTGTTCAATGTTTTGATTCTGAACAGGTTAACTTATTAATGTTAAAGAAAATCTGGATTAAACCAATACACTTCTATTTCACCTATTATGTGGGAAATCTATGTGTCCTTCCCATCTTCTCCTCTTAGCTCCACCACAGGAGTGAGCTTCAGTCCCGGCTTTGCACAAAACCCAATATGCCACATTTATTATTTAACCACCACACGCATCACTCTCCCACACCATCTCCAATGATTACAATGCTCTCTGTCCCTCACCGCTTTATATTTGGCTGTGGTTATCTGTCTGTGTGATTGCAGCAGGAGCTGCACACATGCATGCAGCTGCAGGGCTCAGCAGTAGCTCGGGAGGCCTGCCGACACATGAGCTGCTCAGGTCCCTGGAGCTGCAGCAGGGCTGGCGTCCTGTAAAAGTGCAACTCGATTCTGCAGCACGGATTCTTCCTCCGTTAGCCAGCTCTGCCTGGAGCGAAGCAGGAGGATCTCGGCAAACATTTATGCACCCACACACACTCTCTCACCGAACCAATATGTATTCAAGTACAGTCACACACCTCCACACACAGTGGCACGTTAACCGACACTCACAATACACCCCCGAAATCACACCAAACAGTGAGGCTGTTAAAATAAAACATTCTCATACGATGGATTTTGGTTCACTTTTCCATCAGTGCTTACCAGCAGAAGGTTAAAAATAAAGAAATCACACAAACATTTCACACACAGCTCATAGAATAACACCGATCTAATGGACATGACATATAAAAGTACTAAAGTGTCATTCGGATACATATCTATATTTGTACTGCCCTCTGCAGACACAAATATGTGTCAAGTTCTGTTTGGTTTCTGATGATATAATTAAATGTAACCTGAGCATAATCAGACTTCATGTTTTTTTGTTCACCAGCTCTTTAACACAGCGGTTAAACTACGAGATTTTCAATCAAAGGCAGCTGAGATTTTAATGGCCCATTAGTTTAGAGAAGTTTGTTTGAAACCAAAAACAATACCAGCTCTAATTACTTTTCATGCCCACATAAACCACTCCTGTAGCCTTGAATCAGCAGCACGGTGTTCGTTTGAATGCCATTGTTCATATCTGGACATGACACTGAGCGACAGCAGGGTTCGAGCTCCACAGGTTTCATATTACTTCTATTTTAAAAGTTAACTCCTGCTGGCATAAATGAAACATTTTTTCTATGATAAAAAGACCTCAAGCATGGTAATTACCTCAGTGATCTCAACCAAACATAGTCCACTCTGAGCTTTATTTGTTAAATTGACTCAATTTGGAATAATCTGACAGCAGAGACACTGAACAACAGTGCTCCTCATTCATAGCCCACATATGTTTGTGCCAGCTCACATCTGCCTCTACACTTCATGTTAGTCTGTCAAAGCTGAAGAAAATACTGTAAGATGGATGGAGATTTGGATTGAATGTGTGTCTATTAATGGTATTACAGCTAAATGTGTGCACCATTTGAGTACAACACCAATTTTCCTACGGGAACAATGTAGTGAATTGTATCGTGTCATATCATATCGTAGTGCCGTAGAGCAGTAGTTACCAAAGGGGGGGTCGGGAACCCCTTGGGGGGGGTCATAAGACACTGATAGGAAGGTCTCGAGATGCCTTCCATAACCTAATAAAATGATTTAAAATAGCATATTTCACCCATTTTTGTGAAAAAACATACAACAATTAGTACAATTTAAAATACAACTATAGTGGTTAATTAAGATTTATGCTGACATGAAAGTGATATGTAAAAAAAATCTTTGAATAACTTTGCATACAAGTGCAACAGTGTAGATGTCTGTTGCTCCCTAAGAATAAAAATACACACAGACATTACCTGTGTGTCTATTTATTACATTTCCCCTTCACTCCTACAGTTTATACTTGGAGATTACTTGTGTTCTGCTTCCAGCCTTTTAACAATAAATAACTGAAATAGGAAGAATGGGGGTCCCCAGTGTCTAGCTTATACTTTGGGGTTCCAGAGCTGAAATGTTTGGCAACCTCTACCATAGAGTAACATGGACCATATTGTATCATATAGTGTCAAATCTTTTAGTATTCCAGTAAAAATATGCAAATGAATGATCAAAAAATATTCTTTGTGGCTCCAAGTAATATTCACATGAACCACACACCTGGAGGTTAACAGCCAACATGATGCCAACATTATTTCATGGTCTGTGTGTTTGGTATCATTAGCCTGCCATCCATCTCTGTAGTGACCTTTCTGCAGCACCACTCAGCTGTTACAAAGACAGTCAGAGGACAGCAACATCTGCTGCTGCCACAGATGTCAAAAACCTGGTGAGGTCTGGCCCGGCCATGACGTCATGTGTGGGAAGAAGAAACAACACATCCCTGGAGTAAACTGTAAATGCTGCTTTTCTCTCGTTATCAAACATGAGCAATCAATGGAAAAATGGCTGCAGTTCAGGAATAGAAAAAGCCTTCGCTCACCAGCGCTGATTGCACGGGTTCAAACAGATGGGGTCTGTGGGTGTGAAGTGGCCAATCACTAAAATCGATGGATGTGTTTTTTTCAACAAGGCAAGCACATTTGTCTTAGCATAGCACAAACAACGTGTTTAACAGAGGCCACCACAAAGGGAAACTGGAAGAATCTATGTTTTTTTGGACTACACAAACTAAATTTGTAATTTCAGAGTACATTACATGTGTTTCTGTCTCAGTCAAACTAAAATCATAACATCATTTTTGACCCAGAGCAATGCTAAGCATCCTGGTTATTGTCTTCATAGCTTCATCATTAACTAAAGCGAGAACTCCCTTATGGACACCCACAAGAAACCCTCCCCACAATGAAATAATCTCCACAAGCAATGGAGCATGTGGGATGTAGAACTGACTGCTGTTCACAAGAAGTAGAAAATAAACCTTTAAAACAATTCAATAAAAACACCTCTGACCTCCTGCTGGCATAAACACTGTTCGTCTGGCTGAAGGGGCGAGATTTTTCCTACGCCTGCTTGCAGGACCATAAGCCAATTGTGATCGATACATAAATACATTACAACTGTTTCTTCTACTGGGCTTCAACATACGTACATCTCAGAACAAGGGCCGAAGTATTAACACAGGTAAAAAATGTCAAAGAAAAACAACAAGTCATCACATTTTAGAGGCTAGAAGCTGAAAAGTTATTGAAACAATGGACAAGTCATTGTATAAATACTTATCTCTAGTCTTCAATATTCCAGAGATGACAATGGAGACACAGTGATAAATAGTTCAACGATCAAAGTCTTTCCAAAAACCACAAAACTAACGCACAGTTGTCACAGGTGAAAAGATAAATCAACATCTACATTATGGGGTAAACTTGGCTGGAATTTGGTAGATTTAGTAAGATAGGTTTTTTTTAACAACAATTAAAAGACATTATTTACGTCATATCAACTGTTTGACAGTCTGTCTGTCAGAATTTTATCCATCCCTCTCTTTATTTCTTTTCCCCTCTCCATCACGCTTTTCCCAACCAGCTATTTTTATTTTTTTGCAGATGGCTATCCACCAAAACGTCTGGTTCTGGTTGAGTTTTCTGCCTTTTACGAGAAAGTTTTTCCTTGCCACAGTTACCAAGTGTGTGCTCATATATGTAAACTGTTCTCAGTTGTGCTGTGATTGGCATTATATAAATAAGTATAGGTAAAGTTAATCAAGTTGAATAGACATTTAACAACCTTTTGACCAGCACATTACCAAATCAACAGAGTGGACTACAACCTGATCTCTTTCTATCTTTGAGTTAAGGGCTGATAGCTTGATCCGCCTGATTGAGAGTGCACCTTGGGTACCTGACTGTCTCCCCTCTCTTTCTGTCTGCCCAAGACTCTTCTGTCCTCTCCAACTTATCCCTCTGCCTGCCCAGCAACTTGCCCGCACATCCATGTGTCTCGGTGTCAGTCTGCATGCCTGTCACTTTGCATGAGCCTACTCTGTCCTGACTGTCTGGTGTTTGGTGTCTGGGAGGCAGAAAGGACCATGAGGGAATACGCTGCTCCCATATCGATGTCTGATTCTGGCAGAGCGGTTCCCAAAGGACAACACTTGTATGTTAAGGCGTGAGGTGTGTCTGATGACAAACATGCATAGTATCTGACACAGCCAATGACATTTATTACAAAAAAAAACATTATTGCATGGGTAAGAAAATATAAAAGTCCTGTCTTATCTATTTTCAAACATTACCCACCCACCTGTACAGTCCATCATGAACCTACAGTGACATACAAGTAAAAACAAAGCACACTACAACTCCCTAACCCCGACTCTCGTTGTTTCTCTGCATCGCTGAGACTGACACCACTGGAGGGTATTCAGACGTCGAGCGCAGAGGATCTGCCTTCCCACTTATTTCTCTCAAATGTAGCATTCCCAGAATAAATCCAGAC